ATCTATGCTAGTCGTTGCGGCAGCTGCCCTTGCCCGCTCGAGCTTTTCCTCTACAGCCGCGGCGTCGAACGACGTAGATTCGGGCGTCAGAGGAGATTCGCGATCGGGAAATTCGAGTTCGGGAAATTCACGATTGGGAAACTCGGAGCTGACTTGAAGGTCCGCTCAGGGCTAATTTTTGGATTTGACATACCCTTATAATCAGTGTACCTGTAGCTCGAAAAACTGATTATCAGTGTGACCCCCTACGAAAAATCTTTCCTGTCAGGGTTTTCTTAACTTTGAAAAAATTTACCCTGTCACACTGTAAACCTGGCCAATAGTGGCCCACTTTGTGCCAGCACAAGAGTTGTCAAGGCCGAAATTCCGGCCTCGACAGTTGCCTTGGTGGAATCCCAGGTTACGGGAAAGGGGGGGGGGGGGGGGGGGGGGGGGGGGGGGGGGTGTACCAGGGGGAGGGGGGGGGGTAGGTTACGCGTTACAGGGTAGAACTTGCTACGAGAATTGGAAACCGTTGGGCATCAGTGTGCCTTACACAAAAAAACTGACACATCAGGGTAAATCAATCTCCCCAAAAAAACACCCTAGGCCATCAGTTTGACCCCCCAAAAACCACCCTGATAATCAGGGTATCAGGGTGATTTACCCTGATAAAATTTGCCCTGGTCCCGCTGTGTTCATATCTGCCTTGAGCTCCGCGACTGACTGTGAGTTCCGTTGGGAGGCGGTTGGAGGGAAAACTGTCGCCGCTGTTTAAAAACCTCGCATTGGAGAGCGGTGCGAGGGTGAATAGTAAGGCGAGAGCGAGAGTGATTGCGCCGCGGCGTGCCATACTGGATGTATGAAAAAATCGACTACCTGAAGATTCAAACACGATCCTGTTTTGAGCTCGACTGATGTAAGATAAAAAGGAACGTTCCCTACTACAAAAATTACTAGCTCGATGCTGGAGAAGTCGGATTATTTGCACAAATTGGATTGCAAGAAGAGCGAAATGCAGAATTTGAAGTTTGAGCCCAATGAAATACGTGTAACAGGCTTTTGCATTCCCAACCTCTCCCCTGTTCTTGCAGCCAGATGTATCTTTCGAGTCGCACAGCTGGAGTGGTTCGGATCGGAGGGGAAAGGAGGAGGGGAGGGAGGGAGGTGTTGTTTGAACCGCGTTGACGATGACAGGCCCATCGAGTCGCACATCGGTGGGAAGCAGACGAGGACAAAGAAAGTTCACCGTAAGAGAGGAGAGCTTTCGGAGGAAAATGATAGAAACTTCGCCAGAAGCTAGTTCGTTTCCATACGTAAAATACTCCAACAACATCAGTTTATTCCCATAGCGAAGGCCCTAAAAACTGTTTTGTCATAGAAAAAGGTTTCCAACAAGACATTCAAACACAAGTTACATTATCATTTACTACCACAGATTTTCAACCAGCATTAAGCTTCCAGCACATATAAGCAAAGCCCGACCAGTTGTTGGTCAAGCAAAAAACAGGACAACTGCCTAGACAGCCTCAATCTTTTCCTCCTCTGCGCTCTTCTTGCTGAGAGGCAGCAGATAGACCACAGAGTATGGGATTGCCACAGCAACGCCTGCAAGAATAGGCGCAATCCAGTAAATCCAGTGGTTAGCCCACACACCCTGCCACACCGATGTTCCGAATGCCTGTGCGGGGTTAATAGTTCCACCAGACAGCGGTACACCCACGGCAGTGGTCGTGAGAATGGAAAGGCCAATCATGAGGGGTGCGAGGGCAATAGGACCCCTGGGATCCACGGCAGTGGAGAAAACGGTGAAGATGAGGAGCGAGGTGAAGAGCAGCACTGCAAGGAAACCCGTGCCATTAGATGTGCCCGGGGGAAGTGACGCTGCGCCGAGGATCCTCTGTTAAGAAGAACAAAACAAGGAAAGAATGGCGAACGTAGCTGTCAGTGAAGGTTTCGAGAGAAAGCATGCACGTGAGGGAAGACGTGGCGAAAAAGGCACAGCATGCAGCAACATTAGAAAGTTATTAGGGTGTGGAGAGAATGCACGCACGTTAAGAGCTGAAGGCAGGACGGCAGTTGCAAGGCCGACGCCGACAAGCGCCCCAACCATCTGCCCGATAATGTAGACCAGAGCAGACACCACGTCAATCAGCCCAGCAGCGAGCATGGCGACTGTGGTGGCCGGGTTCAAGTGACCGCCGGAAACGCCAATCGTGCCGGCCACTGCGAGCGCGTAGCCAACGCCATTACCCAACGCAATGATGACCACCGTCGTGAGAGGCTCGACCTTGGCTCCTCCGCCTGGAGCAAGAATTGAGTGGAACACAAATGGGAGATTATTAGAGAAATGCGATGGGAAGCGATAGCGATAAGATGGCTCATTCAGCGAGTAAGACTGTCTCTTAGCACTTTTCATTACGACCACGCCGTGAGGTTCCATACACAGACTGGGTGCATGCGCGCTTGGTTCAGGCTGCTATTACATGCCCAAATTCTCTCGCCCACTCAACAACTGCCAGGGGAATCTCCCTTCCGCCGCAGCAGACTATCACAATTCTTTCCTAATTCGACTCCCACTACCTCTCCCTTGTCCTAAGGCTGTCTCGCCCTCTAAACAATCTCAAGTTTGAATGAAACGAAGAGATGCGGATTGCTTATTGTTGTAAATGAGCGAGAATTGGCGAGTGACTTACTGGTAACGGCGGAGCAGAGCACGCCTTGGAAGACGAAGTACATGGTTCCCAGGATTTCCGCAATGGCGCACTGAAGCAGCACCATCGGCGGCTTGAATTGCATCCATCCCTTGAACACCTGAGGCGCCTTCGCCATTTTTTGAAGTTGGAAGAATTGAAACCGCTGCTAAGGCAAGGCAGCGAGGCGAGCCGAACTCGCAAGATTAGGCGAAGACTGTTGCGAGTATCGAACGTTGAACTCAATCCTAACTTTAGGTCCATATTATGCTTCTATTTATGCACGAGATCTTCAGGTGCTCCCGGCTCGCGACTTCCAGTGACATGTGAAGGATAAGCGTTCCTCCCCCAGCTTACATTTCGCAGGTACATGAATTGATACGGAAGCTAGGATGCGTGCGGACCGCATGGCGGCTAGGAGCCTCCTAGACAGGCACTCGGGCTAAGTCTGACCCGAAGTTTCCCTCCTAGACAGGCACTCGGGCTATGTCTGACCAGAGGTCTCAATCAATCTAGGAGCGACTGTGAGCCACTTATTCGGTCGCTCCATCTTAGGCACCACCTGCTCTGGTACCATCCCCCCCCTAGTACACTTTCTCCGGCTCGTTAACCCACACGTCCATCGGCTTGTCTACCTTGGCGGTGGTTCCAGGTCATATTAGTGTGGTGCTGATGCGAGATATGGAGCGTGTGAGTCTCTAATTGGCGGCGGTTGCGGTTCCAGGTCAAAAATGAAATGGTGCTGAAGGGAGAAATCGGGGTTGGGTGAAGAATGTCCGATTGTCCTGGTCTCTGGCGTAGGGAGAAGGACGCACTCCACCCAAGTTTCGAGCCAAGTGTAGGTGTTCCCCTAGACGAAAGCTGGCACTGAAATTGATGCATTCATCCCGTTTTCAGTTTCTGTCAACGGCAGACCTCTCCAATGGGAAGGGGCTTGATTGAAAGTGTAGATTGACCAGCTAGCACTCGTGCGAAATTCAGGATAAGGCGCCGTGATTTGCGATAAACTACAGGTCTAGCAAACCACGTCAAGGAAGCTGCGGCCAGGATTGTTCGAAACGCCCTGCTTTGTTGATCTGCTCGGCACCCTCGCTAAATATTTGTGAGCAGCAGGTACTTTCAGGTTAGGTATGGTTGGACACGGTACGTGACACGTTCTCGTTACAAGACCTCCCGGAGAGACTCACGTAAAGAACACTCAACTCATTTTCAAGACCCCTGAAAAATCAGTACAGAGCTCTGCTGCTTTATTCCTCTGTCTCATGAACCCTACTCAGCTACATCCTGTGTGAGTAAACCTACAGACAGCTAATTATACAATTGCTGGTGTACTTGCAGCTCTTCCGATTTTAATGGTGTTTGCTACTCTCATTACGACAAGAAGTTGACTGCTAAAACGGCATATAGACATGCCCTCACACTCAGGGCTGATTTTATCAGACTAAAATAGTCTGATTGTCTGAAATCTCAGGGTATTTTCCTACGGATCCTGATTTTTCAGAGTTGTAAGATTTTCAAACATTAGTGCTTCAGACTTCCTTGTTTTTGGATACTGAGAATTTCAGAGTAGTGATTTAGCCGATAATGGGTCTTCTTACTACAGGGAGTACGGATCCTGAAATTCGGATCTGTACTTTCAGCGTACCTTCCGCAAGGTACGAAAAACTTCACCGCACTATCACGCGCAAAATCTGTACTTGGCACTTCTGCCACCCTTTTCCCTTGGAATTCTACCACTTGGCTCGGTGTTTCATTTACACTCACGTGGGACCATCGCTGTAGCTACGCGGAATTCTACCACTTGGCTCGGTGTTTCACTTACACTCACGTGGGACCATCGCTGTAGCTACGCGGTGCCAGCGAGGGAAACGCCGTGTTTGATTTCGCCATGTGAAGTCTGAGTACTTCAGACTTGTGTTTTTGCGGAACCTGGAAAATCAGAGTAGCCATTCTCTGAGAAATATGCCTCAGACTATTTTTTTTGAGACCCCCCAGAACGTCAGACTGGATTTTTTTGAATAGTCAGCCCTGCTCACACTCATTAGCTGGAAAGCAAACTGCGTCAACATATTCACATTCTCTTGACAGATTGTTTCAAAGGCTCAAATTTGTATATACTATATTTGCTTGCCAGGAAAACAAGACAAAATTGCCATAACCCATAATCACCAAAGTACTGGCTGAAGCATTAGACTCAACACCCCTTCTGGTATTGAACCAGAACCTCCTAGAAAATTGGGCAAAAAAATAGAGTTATTTCCTCGAATCAATATTTTTCTACTCTTGTAGCGCACCAAGCACACTCCTAGGACGTGCCCCTGGGAACCTTTACACCTTCTCATCATCCTCATCGCCCTTGTTGCTGAGGGGCAGCAGATAGACAACCGCATACGGCACCGCCACAGCAATGCCTGCCAGGATCGGCGCAAGCCAGTAGATCCAGTGGTTGGCCCACACACCCTGCCACACCGACGTTCCGAACGCCTGTGCAGGGTTGATGGTTCCACCCGACAGAGGCACACCCACTGCAGTGGTGGTTAGGATGGTGAGGCCGATCATGAGGGGTGCGAGGGCGATAGGACCCCTGGGGTCTACGGCGGTGGCGAAAACAGTGAAGATGAGGAGCGATGTGAAGAGAAGCACTGCGAGGAAGCCTGTGCCTGAGGACGTGCCCGCGGGAAGCGACGCTGCACCGAGAACCCTCTGTTACAAAGAAAATGTGGAAAGAATGGAGTAAAGAGAAAACATTCTGTTACAAACCCTCTGTTAAGTACATGAAGAACAGAACCAAGGTAACTATGTCACATCGCCGCAAGTGATGAACAAGAAGTAAAACAATATCAGGGAGCAAGGCAAGAGGGCCCTAAGGGAGACAGAGCAGAGCCATACATTAAGAGCTGAAGGCAGGACAGCAGTTGCGAGGCCGACGCCAACGAGCGATCCGACAAGCTGCCCGATAATGTAGACTGCGGCTGAGAGCACGTCAATCAATCCGACGGACAGCATGGCAATTGTGGTGGCCGGATTGATGTGACCCCCAGAAAGGCCGAGTGTTCCAGCCACTGCGAGCGCGTAGGCGACGCCGTTACCCAACGCGATGATGACCACGGTTGTGAGCGGCTCCACCTTGGCTCCTGGGGCTGCAGCAAAGAAGCAAGCGCGATAGCGCCAGAAAGTTAGTATAGGAATAGGCGTCAGAAAAGAAGATGTAGTCCAAGGACGACAAGGGCAAGGAACGATGCTGACTTTTGCAGTGTGGTCTACATCAAGAAGTCCTCAAGGGCCCTCGACTCATCATAAGTGACCAATCAGGTTAGGAAGTATGAAAGCAATTAATCTAGTACACAAATTGGCTGGTGCGTGCGTCCATGCAGTTCGGCATACAGCGGCTCAATTTTAGCCACGAAATCAAAGCACTGCAACAGTGCACCAAAATCGTTTTGTCCAATGTCCTCCTCACGTGCCTCACAGCTATTTCAAACGTATCCCACTTCACAAGAACCAATGCCCAAGCGGAGTGAATGTTTTAGAAATGCGAGAAATGACGAGCGACTTACTGACGATGGCGGAGCAGAGCACGCCTTGGAAGACGAAGTACATGGTCCCGACAATCTCTGCGATCGCGCACTGAAGCAGCACCATCGGCGCCTTGAACTGCACCCATTGCTTGAACACCTGAGGCGCTGGCGCCATTGCTTCTGAGAGCTTCTGACTATGAGTCGAAACGGCTGGATATGCGAGTCAGAGGCGAAGGAGAGACTGTCTCGCGAGACGATGCGAAGACGTCAGGGCGTTGTTGAACACAAGTTTGACTTCCCGCCTCAGTTTGTGCGTCATTTTATGCTCGAGTCTGGACAAGTGCTCTTGCATCATGACTTCAATTTCGACGCGAGTCGGGAGATCTCCCCCCCCGGGCCTAATTTCTGGAGAGACATGAATTGATACTGAACCTTGAACGGGTCCGAACCGCGTGGCGGCTGATATTCAGAGTCTCCTGGACATGCTGTCAGACTATGTCTGACCCGAACCCGTCTCAATCAATCTCGGAACGCCTGTGAGCCACTTACAAAATATTCACTGAATATACTGTACTGGGTCTATGGTCCTTGGTACCCCCCTAGGACGCTTTCTCTTGCTTGTTAACTTGGCGTCAGTGGTGCCAGCCCAACGTCCCTCCGCATTCCTCCTCCCACAACCATAGTTTTGCCCTCCTCGGTTTTAGATTTCTTATGGCATCCTCACTGTGCAATGGCAAGGTTGGCCTGGATAAGGAGGCGTAAATTCCGGTCAGCCGCCAGTCGCGTCTGATTTGACATCGAGGGCAGATAAGCTTGACACGTTGAGCCTTGGCTGATGTGGCGGACCATTCACCACAGGAACTCGTTATCTAGTTTAGGGTTGAAGTGACTCGAGTCGATTGGGGCTAGGCCTGGGGGTATAGTGGGTTGGCTGCACCTCCCTGTCCTTTCAACCTTCGTGTGCGCTAAGATTCATCAATGCGATAAAAACGAAATGACGACCACGTACGGTACCTAGACCCACACAGCCCCTCGTCTCGGTGCCTACCTTTGAAAGTTTGGGATGATTCACTACTGCTCCAAATCGGTACATTCTACACGCTTCAATGTCGGTTTCTTCTTATGCTGTAAACAATGTGTATTGAATTCAGTAGAGTTGTATTATATCTGAGAAATCAGTGCCAAATGTTTGTTTGGGGGTCTTGCAGCACCCTTATACCACTAACCTTGCAAATGTAATAGACATTAACAGGACACATCGGTTTGCCCATACGGTACATGTCCTCCAGCAGTGGAGAGAACAAGCACAACTACCGTACATATTGCATAGCAACCAGTCCTGCTTTGGTAGCTAAGGAATTGAAAAACGAGGCAGACTGCATGCGAGCAGTGAGAGTGGTGATATAGCTGTAGGAAAGAATATAAATTTGATTTCCGTAACACCAGAACTCCACCCGCTCAAAACTCTCTAGCGCAGAGATCCCGGAACCCCATGTTTGCGCCAGCCTTCCAATCATAATACGTGTTCACGCCGCCATACGCGCCGAGAATAATCCCGCTCAGCCCGATAACCGAGCCGAGCGCGAAAATAATCACCGATGGCTTGCCGTAGCGCATGACAATAGCGCGCACAATGGAAAGGCCGGAAAAGGCGGCGATCATGGCAATGCCGGCGAAGACGAGCGCAACCTCGATGGGGATGCGGCCGAGGAGATAGAACTCGAGCACGGAGAGCGACGAGGAGAAGACAACCATGAAGGTTGTTGTCGCTGCTGTGACCTGTTTTGGTAGGAGGTGGGGGAGGGGTTGGGAGGAGGGGGTGGGGGGAGGGGAGGTGGGGGTTGGAAGTGGGAGACCAGTTGAAGCATCTTTGAGTGGACTCAAGAGGCTGTGAAGGTGGATTTTTGAGTCGACTCAAAAGTCACCTTGGAAGTGGGAGACCAGTTGAAGCAACTTTGAGTGGACTCAAGAGGCGGTGAAGGTGGAACTCGAGCACTGAGAGCGACGAGGAGAACACCACCAGGAAGGCATGGTCCTTGGACCCATGACCCATGACCCATGACCCATGACCCGTTGAAGCAACTTTGAGTGGACTCAAGAGGCGGTGAAGGTAGAACTCAGGCACGGAGAGCGGTTAGGAGAAAACCACCATGAAGGCATGGTCCGTGGACCCATGACCCATGACCCATGACCCATGACCCATGACCCATGACCATACCGTCTGTGGGGGAAGGTTGGGTTTGAGCAGCACAGGGCCCATGCCCATGCCGCCTCCTATGCCTCCTATGCCCAGCACAGCCCACGCACCACAAGCATTGCGATTCCAGTATTGCCCTGAAAGGTATTGACCCACCTGTGGGGGCAGGTTGAGTTCGAGCAGCACAGGGCCCATGACCATGCCGACTCCTATGCCCAGCAGCCCGCCCATCACCCCAGCGATGAACGAGCACAGCGGATACCCCCACAGCTGCTGCATGCCCCAGAGGGTCGACTGGCAGTCTTAGAAGCAGCTCACAAACAGCACACATGCGGCAACATTCACCTGTCTGTCTCCCTGACGCATTTCAACTCACCTGGGGAGGCAGGTTGAGTTCGAGCAGCACAGGGCCCATGACCATGCCGCCTCCGATGCCAAGCAGCCCACCCATCACTCCAGCAATGAAGGAGCAGAGTGGATACCCCCACAGCTGCTGCATGCCCCAATGTGCCGTGTGGTACTCTCCCCTCCTGCTGCCGCTGCTGCTGCTGCCACCCTCCCTCTGCTGCTGCTGCTCCGATGCTTCACCACCACCAGCACCACCAGCAGCAGAAGCACCACCAGCACCACGGCCTCGGGAGTTTCTCCCGCGAGACGGGTGGCTCTGGCGGTAGAGGCGGAACGCACCCACGAGGGTAGCGAGGAGAGCAACGGGGATCTGCAGCGCGTTGAGCAGCCAGTAGGGGCGGCTGCAGTCGGGCGTGTGCTGCTTGGCGAGCTGCAGGGCGAGGAAAGCGACCCAAACGAGGAAGAGCTCCAGCACTGACCGCCAGTCCACCAGCTGGAAGAGAGAGGCCTGGTGGGAAGAGGGATGGGTGGGTAAGGGGTGCAGATGGGAAGAGGGATGGGAGGAGTGGGGAAGGGAGAGAGGGGAGAGTGAAGGGGGGAAAGGGAATGAGGTGTTGAGTGGGTGGCGTTGAGCAGCCAGTAGGGGCGGGTGCAGTCGGGCGTGTGCTGCTTGGCGAGCTGCAGGGCGAGGAAAGCGACCCAAACGAGAAAGAGTTCAAGTACTGACCACCAATCCACCAGCTGGAAGAGCGACGCCTGGTGGGAAGAGGGACAGAGGAGGAAAGGGCAGGGGAAGAAAAGACAGAGGAGGAAATAGAAGCACGGCACCTCAACTTACCTCCGGACAGTGCTGCTGCTGACCCCTGCACCGTGGTCCTAAACCTTCACTCACCTCCAACGGCGGTCCGAAGTGCAGTTCCTCCATCAGACTCTTTGTGCGCGCTGCTGACCCCTGCACCGTGCTTCCCCTTCCCCCTCCCCCACCACCTCCTCTACCTCCTCCTCCTGCCCCTGGCCCTGATGATCTCTCTTCTCCTGCCCCTGCCGCTGATGCCTCTGGCTGCTGTAGCAACGGGGTGGTGAGCCCCCCAGAAGCAGCAGGAACCTTTGAAGCGTCCCCAGACGTTGAATCAGATGCAGATTCAGATGCCACGTTAACCCCAGAAGGAGCAAAAACAGCAGAAGGGTAGGACGCTTGCTGCTGCTGCGGCCTCTCTCCCTCTCTTTCTCTCTTCTTCTCCTTCTCGCTCCGCCCCTCCTCCTCCCCTCCCTTCTCCACCGCACCTGACTCGCCGTCCGCTAGCTCCTGCCCCGGCACACCCACCTGCGCACCTCTGTTGATTCCACCTGAGAAAAACCCTGAGCCAGCAACAGAATCACCTGCACCAAAACCACCGCCGAAACCATCATCATGGTCATCCTCCTCCATTCCAGCAACAACAGCCGAAGCAGCAGCAAGAGCAGCAGACAAACCAAACCCGCCGCCACCCATGCGACCAGCACTCCCACTCCCGCGGCTGTAGCTCCCTCCTGCACTACCCCCGCGGGGACTCAGCCCTCCGGCACTCGGGCTCACAAACACAGGCGGAACGACTGGTTCGATCGACCCCAGAATCCTGCGGCCTTTGCTAGTGCTGTTGACGTTGCTGTTGCTGTTGCTGGCAGCACTGGCTGCAACAGCGTCAGCAGCAGCTGCTGCAATGCCAGCGGGAGCAGTGGCGGTGGTGGCAGAGGCAGCAGCGACAGCAGAGGTCCGGGCTTCGCCCGGGTCTGAAGGTCCGGTGCCACCAGTGCTTGGCCCGGCATTGCCGAACCTGTCATCGCCAGACCTGTCAGTGTCGCCCGGTGATCTTCCCACTCCTGGAAGCCCCGCGTAGTGCGTCTCGGTTCCGAACCCAAACACGCCCTCCTCCCGAGCCAGGCCGTCCCGAGCCTGGCCCTCCCAAGCCAGCCCGTGCCGAGCCAAGCCCTGGTACCCCACTGCCCCGTGCTGGCTGGACTCTGCTGGCTCGCCCACGCTCTCACAGTCAAAGAGGGCTCGCACGGAGTGGGCGTGGGAGGTTGAGTGGAGAGAAGCGGAGAGGCGGAGCACGTCGGACCAGGAGGAGGGGAGAGAGGTGGTGCGGTCTGATGGGAGGAGGCGGGGGATAATGGGGCGGGGGGGCGCTGGGGGAAGGGGAAGAGGGGGGAAAGGGGAAGGAAGGGGGAAGCGGTAAGGGACATGATCAGCGACAGCACTTTGTCGGTGTATACATTCAATTATCAATAAAAAGCGACAGCACTTTGCCTCGTCGTCGCTACATAACACGAGCACTCACAGGAGTCACTGAAGGAAGGGAGAGGAGTTAAACGCACTTCACCTTGTGGCCCGAGCAGCCACACAACTTATCCTCGTCACCCTTAGCCCCCGAGGCATGAGCACTTACAAGAATCACTGAAGGAAGGGAGCGGAGTTGCCCTCACGGCAGAATGCTGAGTAAGGGAGAGGGGGAGAAAACAAGGGAGGGAGAAGAGGGGAAAGGATGAGAGGGAAATGTGAGAACTTAGATTGAACCCACCTGCCTGCTCGACAGTGTGATGTGCCTTGACTATATTCGAGGCGCCTGAAAAAAGTCTCACTTCAGGAGAATTGTGCCTTAAGAAGTGAGAAAATTCTCACTTTACAAGGGTTGTGATTTGACCGTCCTGGCAATGTGAGATGTGTCTTGCCAGCCTTGCATGAACAGAGAATTTTCCAACCACATGGCATAGTTTGTTGGCCTGTGTTGACCCATGCTGACCTGCATTGACCCGAATCAACCTGCGTTGACATGCATTGACCCGCATTGACCTGCATTGACCTGCATTGACCTGCATTGACTTTCTCAGACTCTCCTGTTGCACAACATGGTAAGGGCTTTTGGCCTGCATTGACATGCGTTGACTCGCATTAACTCTCATTGACCTGCATTGACTCGCATTAACTCTCATTGACCTCCATTAACTCTCATTGACCTGCGTTGACTTGCGTTGACTCACCTGGTGTGCCACCTGAGACTCCTTCATCCACATGGCCACGCCCTTATCCAGCGTCTTGTATGTCATCACTGCACGGGGTAGGGTGGGGTTCAGTGCGGTGAAGAGCGGTAGAATGTGGTGCGCGAGTGAGTGGGCACAACATGGTGAGATGTGTGTTGCATGAAATAGGTGATTCACATGGCCACGCCCTTATCCAGCGTCTTGTATGTCATCACTGCATGGGACGGGGTGGTATGTGGTGCAGTGCGGTATAGAGTGATGCAGCATGAGATAGGTGATTCACATGGCCACGCCCTTGTCCAGCGTCTTGTATGGTCATCACTGCATAGCATGCGGTGGTCTGTGGTGCAGTGCGGTAATGCCATAACACATGCACTCAAACGGTTCCCACTCATGCACTCCTACGGGCACTTACACAGCAGCAGCAGCAGGAAGAGCATGACAGTGATAAGCCAGGCGGGAAGATGACGTTGCAGGTGACCCCCACGCTGATCCCCAGCAGCAGCGTGGGCTGCATGAGGCGCGCCAAGCTGTAGTCACCGCAGCCCCATATAAACAGATGAACTCACGTGGGCACTTACACAGAAGCAGCAGGAAGAGCATGACCGTAATGAGCCAGGGAGGGAAGATGACGTTGCAGGAAACGCCCACGCTGATCCCCAGCAGCAGCGTGGGCTGCATGAGGCGCGCCAAGCCGTAGTCTATCAAGGGCTGGTGGAAGGTGGGGTGCTTCAGCTGCACGTTAAAGCAGACACTCGCCATCGCGCCCCCCATTATCATCGCTGTAAGGGAGGGCAAGCGGGCAAGGTGAACATGAGAATGAGCCCGATCATTTAATCGGCTACAGAGATTCTTACATTTGGAAAGGGCAGTAGACGTCTTGGCGTCGTATCCCACCCAGCAGCAGGTTGAACATGGGTACGAACAGCCCGCCAGTAAGTAGATAAGATAGGCTGGTTTGAAAGCCCTTAGCACTCACATTTAGAGAGGGCAGTGGACGTCTTAGCGTCGTATCCCAGCAGCAGGTTGAACATGGGTACGAATAAGCCCCCTCCCCCCACGCCTCCCGCAATTGCGAGTGCTGAGTCAACCCGACTAGAGATTCAAAAGTCAACTACTTACATTTAGACAACGCAGTGGATGTCTTGACGTCGTATCCGAGCAGCAGATTAAACATGGGCACGAACAGGCCCCCTCCCCCCACACCTCCCGCGTTGGCGGCATTGACTTGACTCGTGAATCAGGATCTTCTCTTACATTTGGAGAGTGCAGTAGATGTCTTGGCGTCGTATCCGAGCAGCAGGTTGAACATGGGTACGAACAACCCCCCTCCCCCCACGCCTCCCGCATTGGCGAGCGCGGCCCCCACGAGGGAGATGAGAGCGGCTAGCACGACCCGCGGCCCGAACACGAACGGCTGATTAGGTCATACAGGGGATAGGGAGAGGAATGCGGGGATTGGGGAGAGCGAGAGGAGGAAGCGAATGAACAAGAGATGGAAGAGAGAGCGCGGGAAAGCCTTTCGCACCCTTCCCTTCACTTCATCCCCCCCGCATTGGCGAGTGCCGCCCCCACGAGGGAGATGAGAGCGGCTAGCACGAACCACGGACCAAACACGAACGGCTGTTTGGTGGGGAGATGAGGGAGGAGAGGGGAGGGAGGGAGAGAGAGAGGGCGGGTAAAGAAGAGAGGAGGAGGGGGGAGGAGGGGGGGGAGAGGGGGAGGAGAGGAGGGGGAGGGGGAGGGGGAGGAGGAGGGGGAGGGGGAGGGGAAGAGGGAGGGGGAGGAGGAGGGGGAGGAGGAGGGCAGGGAAAGGGAAGGGGGAGTGGGGGGGGAGGGGGAAGGGGAGGGGGAAGGGGAGGGGGAGAGGGATGCTTACAGGCCATCTTTTATCGCCGAGCCATGCAGCAGTGGGCTTCGACACTCGCAGCAGGGGAAGCAGCGGATGAGTGAACATGCTGCTGCTCGCACTGCTGCTGCTGCTGGTGCTGCCGCTGGTGCTGGTGCTGGTGCTGGTGCTGATGACACTGTTGCTGCTGCTGCTGAGAGTGCTGCTGTCGCTGCTGCTTCCACCGTGTCTGTTGTCCCTTGAACCGCTCTGCACCGCTGGCGACGCTAGAAACGAGTGGAACCGACCAAACAACCCCACATGCCTGCCTCTTCCGCTCGTTACAGTCACTTCCGCCTCTCGTCCTCTCGAAGCCTCGCCTCCCTTCCCTTCAGCACGGATCTGAGCCTTAACCGCCTCGCTCCCCCTCGCTTTAATCACACCTCCTGCTTGCGCTGTTTCCACAGACTCATGGGGCGCATCCGCCAAGACATTCGGTATAGTCGCATTCGGACCAATCACATCCCACGCTGCCACGCCCGTTACTGTCACATTCGACGCCGTCACATTCTCCCGGGCGGCAGATCTCCCCTCGATTGTGGATCCTCGGATAGAGTCAACTCCGGCGCAGAGAACAAGCAGGGGACAGGCGGGTAGCAGCAGGAGGAGCAGCAGCAGCATTAGCGGCACCAGCATTCCCACCCCCATCATCCCCATCCTCATCGGCTGTTTCGGAGATTTGAGTAGCCGCGGCCGCAGCAGCGGCGGCTTTTGCGGGGCCTCAAAGGGGATATGAGTGGGCGCAGAACCAGCAGCGGCGGCGGCAGTGCGGAGAAGAAGGGGAGTGAAGTTTCGGTTGTAACGGTTTTTGGGGCGCCTCGAGAAGCGTGTACTAACGGCGGCAGCAGAGGAAGAGGGGCAGTGGTGGAAAAAGGGCTTGTTTATGCTAGCGGGAGTTGAAGGCGGCGTAGGGGGCGTAGGAAACAACACGGGATGGCGAGAATAGTGCAGATGAGCTGACGCAGTTGAGAGGTAATCACTGCGGATCCTGGAAGAGTTGTTACTGCGGATTCTACTAAAATACCAGCTGCTGATTCATAGCACGCGCGCGTGCTAAGCAGTTGTGAACTAGTGATAAGCCACTCCAGCACCCATAGCATGCGCACGCAACGCAAGCAGCGGCTACAGAATTTCCTAGTAGCAGTCTAACTGCTGCTAACTAAAAGTCCATAGCATGTGCCGCGTCACGTGCTACGCGGCGACAACTGTAGCACACCATGTGTGATGAAAGACGAGCCCAATGCCTGCCTGTCACCAACGCAGCTGCCAGGACGCGTCCGCGCGAGGAGAAGCCAGTTGTAACCAGGTACGAAGCAGCAACAGCAAAGCACACCAAAATCAGGTATGAACTAGTAGTGGTAACAGAAAACCACTCCAGGTGGCTTCGGATTGGAACGGTTGTGAGAACCCGGGTCAGAAGACGAGACGAGCCCAGTGCCTGCCTGTCGCCAATGAAGCTGCCAGGGCACGTCCGCGCGGAAGCGTTGTGGGAGAGAGACAGACGAACCTTCCCCGGAAACTTGGGAACGTGCAACTTGAGTCGACTCAAGAGTCTACTTGAATGCAGCACCTGTCGACGGGGCGGAAAGCGCGACTCGCGGATCGGAATGGGAAACTCGCACCCTAGAAATGCTATTCTCGTACGGGGAGGGGGAGGGGGAAGGGGAGGGGGAGGGGGAGGGGGCGGAGGAAATCTAGCTTTCTAGGCGCCTCCAAAATTCGCGGATTGAAATGGGGAGCTTGCACCTTAGTAATGCTCGTAAGGGAACAGCGTTTTGTTCGTAAGGGGAGCTAGCGGGACATTATCTCGTGAAACGGGAGCAGGATCAGAGACAGGGCTTGGAGGGGCGTGGAGGGAAATGGCGTGGGGGGAAGTGGCGTGGCGTGGCGGCTTGTGCGCGTATTCCGAATACGGGGAGGGCTTTATCTGAGCTGGGGGTTCCGGGGAGTCCCTGATTTGCTGCGAGCCGCGCTTTGCGGCACGCGAGGATGGAACGGGACGGAACGGAACCTACTGGGATGGCATGTAAGGTGAAGAATAAATGACCCGTCTCGACGGATCAGCCCGAGCCTCTCTGCGTCGGGCAGGCGGGCCTGTGGCCTGCGGGTTGTGGGCGAGCGAGAAAAACGGAGAACTTCTCCTATTGGCGGTCTGCTGACACGTGGACCGCGACTACTGTACACGTGTAGTGGCAGTAGAATACGTGTACAGTACTATCCTCACGCGATTGTACACGTGTACTACTCGGTTCAGGCTGGGGGTTCGAAAGCGGCGACAGACGTCGCTCTCGCCGTGCGAACGTGCGATGTCATGCGATATCGCCACCGAGCCACGTCAGCGCGTGGGATGCTATCACGGGTGCGGGCAGGGCGCGACTCACAAACGCAATGCTGCTGCTGCAGCAGCAATGGCAATCAAGAGCGGAGACGAGCTAAGGTCGCCTACGAAATCGTCGCACACTACAGAGTTGTCGCCTCACTTTCGCGAAATCCCTCCGAAATAGAAACCCGTACGGAACCATCCTCCTTTTCCCATAGTGAGCTGATTCTTTCATGCGCCACTTTCCATTCCACCCGAAGTGCTCCCCACCCCATAAGTCCTCCCCGTAAGTGCTCCCTCCCCGACCCATCTCCCCTCCCCTCTTCTGCGGCGCGCGTGGCAGCAGCTTCCGTCGCGTCATCTCGCTCACAGCGTTCTTGCTGAAGGTTGGGTGAATCTGGCGCTGCCTTCACTCTCACTCGCGTCGCTGTGAATGTGCGCTGTTTTTAGACGAAGCGGCATGGGAAACCCTAAAATGCTTCTGAGAAGGTCTGGTCAGCCAGGTAGGGTGGCTGTGTGGTGCAGAGTGAGTCAGCACACATGTCCAGATACGATGGCTTCTACACAGAACAGTGAACATGATGGATATATACAGTATAGCTTAGATAAACAAACTTGTACGGTATAAGGTAACGCACAAGGTGTTAGGAAGATGGGTTGAGATACTATCTATTACAATGTAGCATAATTACGCAAGGAAAAGGAGTGGAAACGGGAAGAGAGGAGAAAAGGAGGAATAACGTGAGTAGAAAAAAGGAGAGAGGAAGAAAGAAGGAGGGGAATAGGGGAAAAATGATAGGAGGAAGAAAAACAGGGAAGAAGGAAGAAAAAGCAGCACACACAACCCCAAGAAAACCCCAATAGCACACACATTTAAAACACCATCAAGCCCTCCCATCAAAGCACCCCAACTGCACTCCCATCGAACCAAACCTCCCCCCCTAAACCCACTTTCTAAACCCGCATGTCTACCAAGTATGGTGCATCCGCCCACGGAGCATCCCATCCCATCTCCTCCTCAACATCCTCCCGCTCCACCCAAACAGCCTCTGGGCCTCTCATCATCGACGCAGCGCGTAACAAGATCACACGCGCCTGAGCCCGTTGCAAAGCCACACCCACAGCCGCTTTGAGCGATCCGAGCAAATAAGCCGAGAAACCCTTTCCCGTAGCTCGCGCCGCCCCTTTCGTCTTTGCTATCTCGATCTGCGCGTCACCCTGCTTCTTAAGCCACCGTCCAAAACTCCCCCCCAAGCATCCCCATGTCTCAGCAATGAGTGGTGTGAACTGCACTCCCCCATGCCGCTGTAGAAGCGATTTGTAGTCCGCCGTCTTCCGCTTTTCTCTCTCTCTCGCGGCAAAACCCACCTTGCGACCAATCTGTCCATGGTGCTGCGCGGATAGCGAGATAGGATCTACCACACTAACCTCCAGCGCGTGCTCCTCCCCCTCCCTCAGTTTCCGAACCGCCACATCAACCCTCTTCCCTGGGAGCAACGTGTCGTCTTCCATGGTCACAATCCCACCCGCACCCTTAGCTATCTTCGCCACCACAAATTTAACCGCATCGTGAACCCGAGAAGGTGCATACTGATACTTGCAGCGAAGGGCATGATGCGGGTCAGAGGGATCAGCAAACTCAAACCCACACGCGCACTTGCCGGCCACTATCAGCTGCTGAATAGGGAGGCCTAGGCGCATGGACGCGCAGATGCTCCACTCGGCTGCGGTGAAGGTAGCCTCCTCGTGCGAAGGAACGGCAGAAACCCACGCCCCAGCCCCCGGGCCCTGAAGGGATGTCAAACGGGCCAGGGTGGCATCGTTGTGGGCCATGCCTCGAAGAGATTGGAGGCTCTCAACCGCCAGGCGACGGTGTTGTGTGGGGAAGAGCAGCATAGGCGGATCAGCGGTGCACAAGGCAAGGGGTGGCATCTCCTGCCGAACCGACTGTGGAAGCAGATCCACTGCTCTCGCAAACCAGGGGTCCAACAAGGTCGTAGCCTCGGGCGTGCGGAAAAACTCCTCAAACATCCGCTCCTCACCTGCCACCCCCAACCGAGCCACATCGCTCACTGCTTGGCACCAGCCACATGCATACGACAGA